CCAGCCCTTGGAGCATCTCCATGGCCTCCTCTGGACTCGCTCCAAGTGGTCAATATCCTTCTGATGTTGGGGGCTCCACAGCTGGATGCAGCACTCCAGGTGGGGTCTCACCAGAGAGAAAGAAAGAAAGAAAAGAAAAGCCTTGCTTTCTTTTTCAGAATAAACAAAACCAGGCGTAATTTAGGCAAAGGGAATGCATTTTACTAAGAAAATAGAAGACCAGAACACACATTTCAATAGAGTTACAACATTATAAAGGAGAGAAAAACCCCCATCAGGTTACAGTTCAATACAATTTCAGTTTCAGCTGAGCAATGACCCTCCCAGGTGAAGTCAGCCCCAGGCAGATGAGGCTGGAACTGTTCTCACAAGCACGCCGGCAGACTTAAGTTTATTCGTGTAAGGTAGATACGCCTAAGATGGAAATAAATGTAAATTATTTTGACATTTTACTTCTTGACAAACTGGCCATCTTACTATGCATAGTCCTCAAAGTGTTTTTTATTTCCGTTTTATTAGAAAGGATCTACCTAAAGGATGGATAAGTGAAAGTCAAAGGTACTTGGGAGAGTTCAGTTCAAGCCAGCGCCCAACTTCGGGGAGGGAGAGGCAATATACGTGTACCACAGGGTTCCTGCACCGCAAGCAACACATCTGATGCCAGAGAGCGCTTTTTGCATGAGCTGTAGCCATGGTCCACTGTGCCACCAGGTACTGCATTCCCCACGTACCAGCTAGTTGTTAGGACACGTTGCTCTGGAGAAGGCACGAGTCAGCTGCAGCCTCACCGGGTGCTGCAATTCGGGAAGCGATGGCAGAAAGCAGAGGTCTAAAGCATGCTGCATTCTCCTTGTCGTTCACCCAGAACACCCGCAGGCTTTCCGATACCATGGTAATGTGTATTTCGGGAGTAGGTAGGTAGGTCAAGGTAGATCCATACAGAATTAGATGTCCCTTCATCGCTCAAATTCAGCTGTCAAGCGGGTGCGGTTAAAACTTTGCTCTAGATTTTCTCCTTGCTCCAGTATTCAATGGAACACCCGTCCCTGGTTATTTCGTATGGCTGTTAGGACATGGGACAGCAGTACACAGAGTCCAGGAATGACAGTGGTTTTCTTAAACTTAGGAACAGCACTTACAGCTGAGACAGGAGTCCAAGCTGTCCCGTTCTTACAGTTCGATCTGAGTCCCACAGACGCCTTTATCTGAATGACAGAGGTGCTCAAGTCTGCACCTTTGAAGTCAAGAAGACCCAAAGCAAATGACAGAAGACAACTGGGATTTACTTAGCCCAGAGTCAGCTTAATCGAAGTTCACAGTTGTAGCTGTACAATAGTTATCCCCATACTCCTACAGGAGTAGTCATTAAATACAGCTGCTAATGGAAAACTAAAAGGTACATCGGTTATCTACAGTTACTACCAGGGGAGTGTGACACAGGGTTACTTTACCTACCCCCCTCCGCTAACAGCGTGCTGGAAAAAACAGCGTACAGAGACACGAAACCTGTTGAACACCAATCTGACACGTCGCTTCATTTTAGTCTTGGAAAACAAACGCAACATCGTGAAACATCACCGTTCACAAACAAAACCAGGAACTTCTGTGCGGCGTTTCACAGGGTTTCACAGTCCATCAGACACAGCATTTTAACATCTTCCTCTACGTGTCAGTTGTTGGCACGCGGGCATACACTTCAGGAACACACAAACCTTTGTAACATCTTTGAACAAGAACACACATATTTAACAAAAAAGGCCGTGCTCCCTTAGCTACCTTTCTTCCTCTCCCCGTGACATTAATATACGTTTTTTTTTTTTCCTGTGGATTTTAAGGATGCAAGACTTGGGCCAGTCCTGGAAACGACTGAGCTACTGACCTCAGTGGGAGTTTCTGATCCTCTCAGAAGCGTTCTGTACGTCCAGAACACTATCCTTACGGAACAGACATGCAAGACAGACTTCCATGCCATTCTGAGGGCAAAAGTCACCAGGGCTGTGAGAAGAGCTGGAACTCCTACATCCTTTAGGTGATCTATTTCTTCTGAAGCACAGTATCAGCTTTACACTGTGAGCATTACAAAACGCATCCTGCTGACAACTTTTCCCCTCTGCATACCGCAAAGAGAATTTTCTGGAGATAAAGACTGGTAAATGCTTTTGAATAATCCAGCAAACAGAAACAATCAGGTTAAGTAGAATATGGAAAACGGATACTGATGTTCCTTACTAAGCGGCAAGATTAGCAGTTGTAAATAATGATAAGATTAATTGGATCTGAAGAATACGCAAAACTGAAGATGAACCTATATATTTTATTAAAAAAAAAATCTGAAAAAGATGAAGAGGACAATGAAATGCACTTAAAACTTTGTGAGTGCTCATGCTACCTGTTGCTAACCAACATCAAAGGTAAAATTCTGCCATGTCTATAGTGTAAGCTGTAGGGGATCCACAGACCCTGATTAAACAACGTCCACAGGCGCGTACATATACCAAGTCTAACTGGTACCACTCAGCTGCGGTAACTGGGACCAGTTAAGGCAGTCAGGTCTTGTCTATGCTACTGAGCTCCAGCACATCTGCAGCCCCATCAGGGCAGGGCTATATTGTAACTGCATCCCCAGGGTTGGTTGAAGACTGGCTTCTTCCTCACCTGTGCAGTGAGATTTCCAGAAAAAAATTACACAGGAACACCTGTACTTGGGAAAATCCCACCGCTGTTCTGCACAATCCCTCTTGGCATCTGCTTAAAGACAGCAGGGAGCCTGTGCCAGGAAGGGAAGAGGACTGCACTTCATGAAACAGGCGCCTTCCCTCGGCTTGACAGCAGACCCTGGGAATTTTCTGTGCCGTAGCTCCCTTTGGGAAGCGAACCCCTCTCGCCCAAGGCAGGACTCCAGCTGTGCACAGGCAGTGCTGTTTTCCCAAGCGCCAGGTTTTCCTGAGTACTATCAGTACCCACTGATTCTGAACTATGACTGCACTTCTTGCCTGAAAAAAATAATCAGCCAGAATATATGGATGCAGATCTTTATTTGGTAAGACAAGTTGTATTGACGGACCGATTGCCCTGACCCGAATCAGCCTCAGCCAGGACACAAGATCAGTGCACGGGGTATTTTCGTTACTCGTCTGCCTAACTGGTACGTTGGCAGAAGTGAGGAAGTGTGCATTCCCAATATACTTGAATCCAATGATGCAGAACTCCACTGACACGCTACAACAGGCTTCAGCTAGAGTTGAATTTTCAGAAGGAAAAATAATTTGTACGCTAAATAAATAATTTTTCAGTAAGATCACAAATTTAAATACAATAAAAACCAGGCATAGCAAAAATAGATGAAAAAAGCATTCTTTGTAAAAACACAGGTTTGCATTGGTCTTTTTTTGTGCATATACTTACATATACAAGTTGCAAACCACATACATCACCCCACTTGGCAATGTAGCATTTAGAGCTCCACCTGACAGCACTATACCACAGTTTTTTCCCCACACCACTGTTTTCTGTGTTAATATAATCAGTCTTCTCGCTTCGCTAAAGCCTTCCCAAAGTTCAGTGCTCTTCTTATGTGAAACCAGATAGACATTCTGCCCTTCTTATGTGAAACCAGATTCTAACCATCACTGTGTGTCCTTGCCCGCTAATACAAAGTACTGGAGGGCACTCAGACCCGCTATGAGCAAAATGAAAAGGAATGCACATTCTGGTACCTGTGTCAAATGTGCAGTGCTGTTTATTGCAATGAAAATTGAACTTGCTGTTCTTGTTTTTACACACAAAACCTGACAAATTAAACTTGTAAATGCAGTGAGGGAAGTGATCAGCTTAGAGCTTCTAGGCATTGGATCTTTCAAGTCCTGTGTTCAAACTGAACTGAACAGACTGGACTGAGACCACAAGAAACATTCAGTCAAACTTCTGCAAATGTGCGTGTCAATAGCTGCCTGTAACACTTTCTGTTTCATCAGCGGCGGGGGGGTGTTGTTCCAACAGGGGAGTGCATCCACTTAGGAGTGGTTGAGTCAGTGATGTCATGAGAACATCAGCCACACATCTTTTTGTGAAAACAGGGGTATGCAAGGGAGGAAAAAAAATAGCTTAGAAAAAACATAACCTTGCAAAAATTAACAAATGAAACAAAAATCCTGTAGTACATCCCCTTTGAGTCCACTGCAGAAAATCCCCTTGAAAAATCTCTAAAAGATAATGTCTTTATGAGACATAATTTATTATGCAACAGCATGGCTTTGTTTTTAAAAGCTATTAAGTGATTAATATTCTTTTCAGGCTTTCCAAGATAATTTTAACTACTTCACGTTTTTCCTGACAACAATTTTCACGCCACGATGAAAACACAAAACGCGAGCATTGCTGCAGATTCCACACGTGCCCACCACGCCGCTCCTCAAAGCACATTCAAACAAACGCAACACCCAGTGCCACAGGGAAGTCTGGACAAGGGCATCTTTAAACAACAGACACAACAGAAAGCCTGTTAGACTGCTAAATTTGTCTTAAGCTGTCTTTTTTTTTTGACAAATGCTCTTTGGTGATGTCACAGATAGTGTAATGTGACAACACCAGGACAATTAAGAGACTGATAATTAAACGCAGAAATAAGTCTGAAAATGAGCAGTGACGAGAGAGCTATAGTTCATCGTCAAACACACGTAGCTAAAACACCATTAATGGAATTCTTTAGTGTGGTGCCAGCTCTAAACTAGAAACGCAATGCCATTATTTAAATTACTTTTGGAGAGCTCTCTCATTCCTGTGACGGATGCCATCACCCATACAGTTTATCAGGTATTTTGGAGAGTGGAGAGAAATGTACGTCGAATGAAAAATGGGGTAGAAGAGGGAAAAAAAAAAAAAAACCAACAAAGTGAGCAAAAATAAATTACAGGACTCAAAGATGATGATTTAAATTGGTCTGAAAGAGGGATCCCTGCAGAGTAGAAGATAGTGCCTGAGGAGTGCGATCTTCTGATGCATCAGTGAACCTTAGATTCAGGCCAGTCATACACATCTGGCATGAAGGATTCGTATTCGTAGGTCCAAACCTTTGATCGAATGTAACGGTTCTTGTCTGCAGGTTCAGGGTAATGGAAAGCCATGTTGTTTGCGTACAAAAATTCCATAACCTGGAAAGTTAAATCACCATGCAGTTTGTGCCTTTTACTACATTCACGTAACATCCACGCTTCTACCGCAATATGTTTAGGACTCACAAACTGGATAAAGACAAACACCAAAGTCTGTTTACAATCCCCGAATGTCTTACCAGGGATCTGAAAACCTAATTTCAGGAATCAAAGGACCGTAATTTTGGTCCATCATCACTGCCAAATTGAAGCATCCAAACAACCCAAGATTTTTGTAAGTGTTTCTTAATAAAGGCACAAAGAAGTGGGTGCTTTGTGCCCAAGCACCTAAGTGTTCAAGGGTCATACTGTGCAACTCAGCAAGTTAATCTACACATAAAACACTTCTAGTACAGTCCACTTTTATGCTTCATACTTACCTTGACAGCGATATAAATAGAAACTTCCCTGATATTAGACAGTGGAGGATAAAGTCTTCCTTGTGCAAGTTCTTCATCAGTCAACTGTTCTGCCAGTGCCTGAGTTAGAAACACAAATTCTATTTACTGCATCCAGAATAGGATTAATAACACGCTAAATCACCCAACAGAAACAAGTCGCCATGTTCCTACTACTAGAGTGTTCCCAAAGCACTCGAATAAGGCAGCCACAATCTCAGAATTCTCAAAAGATCTACTCTTCATTCAGTGCCTGTATCAGCAAATTCTGCTTGTAGGCATTTAGCAAAGTAGGATCCTATTTTTTTTGAGGCTGAGCTCCCCGCAACTATGTCAGTTACAAGAGCACAACATGCCTGCAGGACTGCCCAAGTGCTTGGTCGGTTGATTCACTGGCTACTCCGAGGTGGTAGGTGCTCCTGCTCCCGAGTGGAAAGTCAGGAGAGGATGAGAGCCTGGGGACCACGTGCATCCCTGCCCACACCGCCAGCTGTGGAACCCAGAGCGGGGCGGGAGGAGGAGGCAGGCCTGCTGCCAGACGAGGCTGGGAGGGAATTTACACATGGACAGATTTCCTATTTGGATGTTTGGTTTCTAGATGAAAAAATTAAAATTGAAATGGAAGCTGACACTTTTCACAATTTTGTTTGATCAAAATCTATTTTTCCCCCACTGGGGAGGGATAAAACCAACAGAAATCAAACAGGAAACAATTAGAGTTTCAGCAAGATTTGAGAAATTGCCCATCCTGTCATCCACCATCGTGTCAGAAGCCACAGCCTACTCTGCTTCCACACTTACCTTAGCAGCCTCTAGGAAAACCTTATCACTAATATGTCGAACACTGCTGAGGATCACAGCGAGAGCCACGCCTACAATAAAATTATTGCCAATTAGGGCCACATCATTTTAAAATATGCAGCCTGCTGCTGAGAAGCTGCGAGTCATCTAGAATGTTATTTTTAAAAAATCTTCCCATAGCTTTCTACACACATTCACGAAACTATTACCATGTGTGCTAGACATTTACCATAATAGGTGGCTTTTGACAAGGGGTTGGACCTTGGGGAGGAAAGGGAGAGAAAGGGCAAGAGAAAGAGAAATATCCCTAGTTCTTCTTTTGTACCCCCATTTGTGCAGACATAGCTTCAAGAAGAGCATATTGATACTTATTTTCTCCTCGTCCCCCGGCCTAAAACAAGCAGAAGAACCCAAAATGCAGCAACTTTCAAAGCCTTTTGTCTTCTTAGAAACACCCAGCTGAGTGAGCTCACTGTGTGCATGCTGCACCTGTAGCTGCACATGCCTAACACCCATCCTTACCTGATTTTCTTTCATTCATTCTTCTGACTGAGTTCTCAGCTCTACATGCTGGTAACACCTCTGCATGCTGCTTCACTAACTGTGCTTAGTGTACCAAGAGAACCCAAGAAGAGGTGCTAATAGCCTAGTCTTAATGATTAAAATAAGACAACTTTATTTATTACCTGGAAAAATATAGGCATTGTTTCCTTGGCCTGGTTTGAAGGTTCTTCCGTCTGTCAAAGTCACCAGCTCGAAGGGACTGCCACTGGCAAACAAGCACCGGCCCTGTTAAACAGAGGAACAATCACAGTCATGTTGGAGCTTCTGAAGAGCCAACAGCATGGAGCAAAACTGTCGTTATGAAATACAGGCACACCAGAGTCCTACAGCTCCCAGTCAACTCCAGCACCGAATCAGGAACGTCCTCAAGCACACACCCAAATGCAAAAAGGCAAACGGCCCTACTGCATGCAACCGGATTCAGGCACATACTTAAATCCCTTGCTGACTCCATTTCTGCAATCCCAGAATGACAACAACCAAACCCACCCTTTCCAGTAAGGCCTGGAAGAGATACAAGAACCAGTAAGCATCTGCATGTTTCTGCAGCGAACATCTGGAAAGCAACAGAGGCAAGCACACACACTGAACTGCGCAGCTTTCTAAGGAATGGAAACAGTCTGTGTTATCATTCATTGTTCCTCAAGACAGCCACGACTTAAAGGAACTACTCGCACACAAAATACAGTACTTGTGTGTTAACCATTATTTATAACCATAACCGTGTATCAGGAACCACGGCCACAAGCCAGGACCCACCACGGTAGGGACTGTACAAAGGCAGCTGAATAATGGCCATTTCCAAAAGGAGACTGAAATAGAAGTACAGTAACAAGAGGTCACTTGTTTACTGATGGGTGGGAGGATGAAGGGAGGCGCTGCCCTATCATACTTCTATTGCCAAGAGCTTTGAGAGGAGTGAATAATGCAGTTTGCTTAAAATGTTAAAAAATAAGCCAGAGTTTGGAGTGTGAAATATACCCTCCAGATAAATGACCCTTCACGAAGTAAAACTCCTGTAAGCAAAAAATCTTGACCTTCTTTTCAGTAACAGGTTTAATAACATTACTTTAAAATATTTAAGGCTCCCCGGGACCACCACATTTGAGAACAAATTACCAAAGAAGCTGAAGATTTGGGAACTATGTTTGAATGTTAGGGCACACGCGACAGCCTTTTTGTGTGGGGTTCAAAACACATGGATGCATTTGAGGATAGGACCAAAAGACAATGGAGACTAGAACACAACAAAAACCCACACAATACACAGTGGCAGAGGAAACTAAAGCATCGTCAGGCTTTTAGAGATGCCATCTAGTGGAAAAAGAATATGGAATAAAAGGTTAGTGATGACAGCTTCTATAAAAAGTGCAACCAAAAATTAAGCTGATTCTCCCTCTAATTGTGCTGCTGACCTCCTTCAGCCATCAGAGATGCCACTAGTTTTTACATTTATGCCAGCTAAAGGCATGGCTGAATAACTCAGTCTTATTTATTTCTATCCAAGATACTGCAATTTAATTTTATATTCTGAAACACCACCCAACTCACTATTCAGGCCAATGCAAGATATCTGAGAGGTATTAAACTATGTTAATTTAAAAACATTCTCATTTACTGTTAAAAGCAAAGATCTAGATTTTGTCCAGAGGTTGCCTAGGGTGCACTCTGGACCCACAGATCTCTGTGGCAAGAGCTCCCCTCGAGCTGACGGGCCCAGTAAGAGGGAAGAGAACCTGTGTGCGGAGGGGAGATGATGGAGTTCTACCTTTCCCGCTATGAAGCTAACACCGCTGAGGCTGTAATGCTGGAAACTGAGCTACACTAACAGTGGAAGGAAGGAGATTGTAGTTCTGTATCGAGAAACAAGGAAATCCCTCCATCCACTCATTTTCAAATGACAGTCACTTGATTTGGGACTGTATTTAGGGGGAAAAAAAAAAGAATAAAATAAAGAAAATTGAAAGAAAAGCACAAAGGTTTTTCACAAACCCTACCCCTGAAGCCTGCAGGCAGGCCCAGTGGACACGAGAGAGATCAAAGCGAGCTGGAGTCTAATATGTAAAGGAAAGGCATTTCCAGCCCATTCAAGTGTTAAAGTCACTATTCCTCTGCCTGATGCTGCCCGACTGCCTTCCCCTCAGGCTCCCTGCAAAGATGATTACCTTTATATAACGAGTTGTGCAGAAGGATAAAGGACTTGCTTCATTAAAGGCAAAACCAAGGTCTGAGGGCACCAGTGGTAGTGTTATTAAAAGCCACAGCCCAAAACCCCAACCTCCAACCCCCCCAAGCATCCCGCACAGTGTAATGGCTTCAACGTAACGGTGCAGAATGAAGCGTGTTTATTCTTGGTTCACTCGTTTCAACGTTTGGTGGTGCCACTGTCCGAGACACTGACGCTGCGAGAAGGGCATGCAAGGACAGAAGGCCACCACCGACTCCTGCCCGGGAAGCACAGGTCACCGTAACGATACGGGTCCTGACCTGCAGGTGGTAGGAAACGATTGAGTGCAAAGCCGAATCCCTGGAGTGATACAAGGACAATGACCTGCTTTAAGGACTTCACTCAGCCACTACGTTTTAAAGGTTGCACCCAGTCTCTATTTCGACGTTAATGTGTTTCTTTAAAACACAAATAATTAAAGAAAGTGGTGGGAAAACAGTTAATTGATCAAACCTGTGAAGCAGTACCTCATGGTCATTCTTTTAAAAAGTAGTAACAGGATTTAGGGTATCTTAAGATTTAGAATATTTTAAGCTTTGCAAAATCTGTCATGATGTAAAAATGAAGACTTCTTTTCCAATCGCCTCCATTTACTTCTGCCAGAAGACAAGGAAGATCCATAATATTATGTCAGTAAGTCCCAGTAATAATAAAATAATTCAAGCTCTCCCATTCTCACACTCAGCAACCAGTTCTATCACTAAGTGCCAATAGGTCGACATTTCTAAACATTAGGTACCTCTGTTAGCGTGTATGCTTCCTCTGCTGTGCATTCAGCTTTCACCGTAGGGTTACTTAGTGCAAATATTATGGGCCTCTCGTTGATAGAGGCCATTGCTTTGATCACATCCTGAGAGAAGAGCCGCCCAGCTCCTGCAACTCCTGGAAGAAAATGGAAACACATAAAACCAGAATCAATAATTGACTGCCTCAGGGCAGATGACAGCAACTGTAGATTAAGTTCACGTCACCGTGAAATCTCCCACACAGAGCAAAGCACCACAGGCTTTTCCAGCAGCAGGAGATAGAAACCAGGCACTGCTGTGTTAGTGGCTGCTTAAATGCGATGGTCTGGTCAAGTTGCTGCTGACTGAAAAAGGGGAAACATGACCCCCATCTTTAAAAAGGGAAAAATGGAGGATCCAGGGAACTCCAGGCCAGTCAGTCTCACCTCTGTGCCTGGCCAGATCATGGAGCAGATCCTCCTGGAAACCATGCTGAGGCACATGGAGAATGCGGAGGTGATTGGTGACAGCCAGCATGGCTTCACCAAGGGCAAATACTGCCTGATGAATATGGTGGCTTCTACGATGGGGTCACGACCTTGATGGATAGAGGACGGGCAACCGATGTCATCTACCTGGACTTGTGCAAAGCCTTCGACACCGTCCCGCTCAACATCCTTGTCTCTACATTGGAGAGACATGGGTTTGATGGATGGACTGCTCGCTGGATAAAGAACTGGCTTGATGGTCACACTCAGAGAGCCTATTTTACATTATTTTTTTAACTGATCTGTGTAAAGAACACTTGCTGCAGCCCTGAAGCAGCGAGCGGGAACTCCAGGTTCTTCACAGAGGATTCACGCCAGCTGGGTGTTAACTGTGTAACCCACATTCCCTTGATACAGGTATTTCTGACCACACCCAAACTCATAGGTACAAATAGAATCATAGAATGGTAGGGTTGGAAGGGACCTTAAAGATCATCTAGTTCCAATAAATAAATAAATAAATTCATACATAAAAACAGTGTACAGTAGTACGCTGGCTACAAACTTCAGGGCAGCTATTCAGCTAAAACACTTTACATTTCCAAATAAATCATGTGCAAAGGAAATTGCAGAGTTGTACCAGGAAATACCTCTAATCCCATCTGGCCTCTGCAGGCCACCAGTTATAAATCAATACCTACGTATGTCAGTGACCTAAAAGGTATTGGTGAACTGCAGTATGAAACAGCTCCTTCCAGCCATGCTGCTGGCAGATTCTGGCCCGAGAAGCTGACTGGGGGAAGGAAGGTCAGAGGGAAAAAAAAAAAATCAAGTTAGGGAACACCTGTAAAGCAGAAAATGCTGTGTTTGTGACTGTTCTCTCGCTTGCTGCTGGTGGAGGGGATGCGCCTGGGGAAAAAGGTTGCATTTTTGCCTTCCTGGCCCTTCATTACAATTTCAGTTCATTCTGGCCATGCTCAGAGTTTTCTAAGAAAGTGCAACACCAGCTGGACAAGGACTAGAGGAAGCAGCTAACAAGGACACGATGCAGAAGGAGCACCACAACTGCAATGAAGGATGCACTGAGAGCTAATCTGCAGCTCAGTGTATTTCCAGGCAGAAAACTGACCTCACATTTTTATCTTATTTACACCAGCAAAAATGCTTATCACTGTCACCAACCTCCTTGGAGCCATGTTAGCAAATTAAATGTAGCAAATAACCAAATGATGGAAACACAGGAACAGAAATAATCTTGCTTACCAATGATAGCTGAAGGCCGAAGTACGTTCACTGCCTCCACAAATGTCTTTGGTATCTGCTCTGGAGCCTGATGCGTAAACGGTTCTTGGTTGGAATCTACCTTTTGTTCTCGGCCCTACAGATAAAAGGTTGATTCTTTTTGTGAGAAAAAAGAAAGCATTGGTTATCTGCACTGTGGCATTTCAGGGCACGGTGCACCCCTACCTGAACCAGTAAGCCGTATTTGTCAAACATCCATATTCTCCTGTAGGCTTCCTCAGCAGAAACACCGCTTTCCATCATAGCCATAACAATGAGGTTCGCAATCCCCAGGGCGGCCTTGTGGATAAAACGACTTTGATTTTTAACACGCCACAGAAGAGGTCTGTTATCACAACACCACTCTGTTCAACATCCCCACAAAAATCATTTAGTACGTCAGCTCTGAAACACAAGCAATGTTTGCCTGGAACAAGGACAGACTCCTGGGCTCAACAGTGTCACATCTTCAAGGAAAAGAGAGGCAGCTCTTCTGGGTTCTGTGCCCCTTGCCTGAACCAGTTCAGCTGCCACAATGAAGCAGCCAAAGCAGACAGTAAGAACAAGTTAGGGCTGCAGCCCTCCCATCAAGAAACCACAGCCGAGTTTTGTGCGCAAATTCTTTCCAAACCTCCCTCTGCTCCTGCTGTCTGTGAGAAAGGCCTGGCAGACAGAGCGCAGAGAGCGATGCTAGCAGTGCTTCCCTCTAGGTCCCTTCTCCTGGCTCACTGCACAAGCTGCTAAGTCTGGCAGGAGAAATAAGGCAGAGAGAAGTGCAGAGCAGGGCTCAGGCAACAGCACACCATTAGCCAATTACTGCAATCAGGACCTTCCCCAGCTGCAGAAATTTTCAGCTAATTAAGTTATTTTGTCAGCACCACAGAAGCGATCTTGCTGATATACCAAGAAGCATGATTCTGGTCCTGACACTGCTGGCCCAGCAACTCAGTAGTGCCCTGCAAACAGTCTCTGATTTAACGTGCTAAGAAAACCACTGTGTACTTCTTCCCAATGCTATAAAAATTAACAGATGTTCTTCACCCTTCCTACTAAACCCTAATTTTACAATAAATTCCCCTTCAACTACACAAACGTCCCTGATGCTTTTTTTTAAGGCCAGAAGGAAGCATATATAATTTTATTTATTTATAATTTACTTTCTTCTAAGGAAGAAAGTGAAAACCTTGAGTCCTTGCAAATGTTAAACACCTTCCAAATCGCCATCCTTAAGCAGGTAGTCCCTTCTGTTAATGCACTGCACCTGGCTTTATGTGAAAAGTTCTGCAATGGCATTCAGAGAATGTGAACGTCCACAAGTCCTACAGAACCAGAAAATACAGAGTTAAACCCTTGCTCCAGAGCCCTTAAGAGAACTCACCTCTCCTGCTCCAAGGAAGAGGACTTTCTGCTCTGCAAGTGGTTTACCCGTGGCCTTCTGTGCTGCCAGCAGTCCTGCCAAGGCCACTGAAGCCGTCCCTGTAAAAGCAGTACAAATCTAAGGTGAGCTGAACAGATCGACATGGCAGATTGTGGTTTCAGGCAAAGTTTCTGCACATACATTAAGGAACATAAAGAAAGGGTATACCTTGAATATCATCATTGAAGGTACAGTATTTTTCTCTGTATTTTCTTAAAAAACGAAAAGCATTGTGGTTTCCAAAGTCTTCAAATTGGATAAGTGTGTTTTGGCCATACCTACAGAAACGGCAAATATTCCTATCACTAGACAGAAAGAAATACAGTCACTTTAAAACAAATCCCGCACATAATCAATTATCTTTGCAAGGATGTCCTCAGGCCTTTCACTCCTTAAAACAGTTCCATGTCCATCCTGTGCATATTTAATGGATAACTACAAGCAGCATGTTCCAGGTCACCGAGAAAATCACTAGAGAGCCAGAAATACAGGTGTTATCTCTTGAATTCTAGTCCTACCCTTAAATGACTGTTTCAAGGACAGTGTGTTATGGGGTTGTTTTTGCCAGCAGTTTTCACCATATTTCCATGCAGAATATTCAGTGTCATACCTGTCTGTAATGGCTTCCATAAATTCATCAATTAGGTCATCATAGACTTGTGAGCGATCCCTTTTTTGGTACAGGCCCATATAAAATGGATCTTTTAGGAGTGTCTGCAAAAGGATAAATCAAGGACAGCCACAGAATGAATCACTTCCTCAATACACACTTTCCAGGGTTCACAGTAACACATTTCGCACCAAAGACACTGCATTTATATAGCCACTGTAACTGCCTTCAGTCTGTACCAACGTTCAGTATTTTCAGCTGGTACGTGAGGTTGCTGCTGGCTGCTTTTAAAATGGAACAAATCTATTCTGTGAATAAGAAACTGCTGTAATAAATGCAATTCACATTTCCAGCTTCTTACAGTCAGGTAAGCCTGATTGTCTATTTTACAGTGTTCCAACATTCAAATTACTTCCAAACGTACCATTTCACTGACAAATTAACTGGCGTTTTTCAATCACTGACATGTAACTGTATAGTGAATTCCAAATCACTTACCCTTACATAAAGTATTTGGTTTTATCTTAAATAAAAGTGCTCAAATAAAAATCTTCCTTACAGTACTAAATACTTTCAAAGGAATAACTTATGGCAGGCAAAGTTCAGCCAAACTCACTGTGTTATCAGTTCCAACGTCAATGCACACAGGCAAGCATTTATCTGGATGTATTCCTGCACAGGCTGTGTACAAACACAGTTTTCCTACTGGAATTCCCATGCCGTACACACCTAGGTCTCCAAGGCCCAATATTCTTTCTCCATCAGTAACCACCACAGCCTAAAAACGAAAGCAGGTAACATTATATATGCTTACTGAAATTTATGAAGTTTAGAGCCATAGCAGTTGTGTTTTTTCCAGGTAAAAATTCAGGTATGTTTGTACAGTCAAACAAAGAATAGATTGAGGAATATTTTACTTGAAGCAATAATGCCTAATGTTAGAATCTGCTATGCTCTTTTTTCTTTGCAGAAATCCACAGCCCAAACCCTTGAAAGCTCACTGGGAGTTATCCAAACTGCTTTGTGGAACTGCAGCTTGTAACTTGGGTTTATGATTTCACTCATAAATCCAGACAACAAAAAGTTCGGGTAAGTATAATTCACTTCATCACTCCTTGTGGTTCTCAGCTCAACTGGGTCATACAGGATTTAATGGCAAAATCTGGGCCTCTTTAATACCACTTCTGTGTCTTAATCCGAGGACAAGATCACCTCTCCTACTGCTGCGTAACACAGGAAGCAAGACCCAGAGATGCACCCCTCAAAGCATGGAATAATGAAGTAAAATAGTAACTTTGGCAGTCTGTTTATCATCACTGCTTACTCAAACCACAAAGCTCATGTCTAGGATAGAACACTGCTCTTCAAGATGCGCATTCTCTTCATGAGCTGTATTTTGTGATCATCATCAAACAACCAAGGACGCATTACTTAGTATTTACAGTTCCATCAAATACTAACAAATCTTAAGAAGCTCAACTGAGATTAAATAACTAGAAAAAAAAAAATGATACAGTGGTAGTACCTTAACGTCATTCTCTGGCCAGTTGTTCACAATTGACCTTATATGGCCTCTGTCTGAGATAGAAATAAATAATCCTCTGAAAGAAAAAAAACAAGCAGAAATATTTTATAGGTGGCAATTAGAAATTTCACCTTGCTGTGTAAAACTAAATGTCAAAGAGTACAGTTTTCTTAAAACCGAAAGCGTTGCAATCGCTGACATAAATCGCTTAAAGGACAATCTCTTAATACACAAGACTATTTGGCTACTTTGACATTCTAAAATAACAACACAGAGAAAATACTTTCCATGATGCTACCTGGATTTCATACTACTACAGATATTCACCTTTAATACTCCTCTAGGGGAAACCACCTCTAGTGTTATCGTCAGACATGACAGGATCTATGCCCCCCTACAAGGACATGAGAAGGGAACCTGATCCTAAGCCTGGCTTTACCGTAGTGAATCTCTGTTAATGACGTTACACAAGGTGAGGGGATGGAAAAGGAAGGAAATACAGGGACTGAGCATACTATCTCCGCCAAGGCCAGGAGAACAGTGCTTCCCACTGCGGAGTGCTCCCACATGGGATGATAGGAGGGAAGGCAGAGGAGCAGAAAGGAACAGAGGTGAAGTGTCTGTATTTCTTCTGCTCAAGTAAGCCCTCTGTTGTTAAGAGGAAAGGGGGCACAAAAGGCTCAGGAGAGGTGGTAACAGATAAATTCCCAACACTTGGAAAGTGCCTGTTCTCAGAAAGAAAGGGGCACATCCTAAGTTCTGGTCCATGCTGCTCTTTCTTCTACAGACAACTTCTAGAGGGGGACAGTTTTCAAGCTGGTCTGTAATACACAGAGAGATGTGGAAGGGGAAAGGAAGTATGTGAGAACTGGGAGTACACCTTTCACACCCCTGCCCCAGATCAGGAACAAAACCATGGGGTTTGTTACTGTCCTTATCACAGCAACAACACAATGCCGAGTCCTCATGGCAGGAAAGGGTTAGCCCTTCCTCCACGCAGCACTAAAGCCCTCAGGCAAGAGGGCTTTAGAAATACACGCTGAACTGCAGGGAGAGTATCACAGAAATCATAGAATCATAGAATCACTAGGTTGGAAAAGACCTTAGAGATCATCCAGTCCAACCGTATCTGTCCACCACTAAACCCTA